GGGGAGCTTGTAGTCGCTAGAGCAGAGTATGTGAAGTATAACTGACTCATCAGCCACTTAGAATCTACCGTTGCAGCTACTACCTCCTCAGGAAATGGTTCTGCTTCTACCTATTCTCATTCAGGTATTTGTGCCACTATGAATCATTTTTCTATCTCAGGTAATCATGGGATCCCTTGGATAATTGACTTTGGTGCCTCTAACCATATGACTATTGTGTCTCATTTATTTTCTACTTATTTTATCTGGCCAAGACAAGATCTCTCTTGCCAATGACTCTCTTGCTCTTATCTCTAGTAAGGGAAACATCAGAGCCTCAGATACCCTGACCTTATCTTTACTTCTTCATGTTCCTAAGCTTAACACTAACTTGCTTTCAATTAGTAATTTAACAAAATCCTTGAATTGCAGTGTAACCTTTTTCTCTTCTTATTGTGTTTTTTAGGACATGAAATCTCAAAAGGTGATTGGGAGTGGCCATGAGGCGAATGTATCAGAGTTAGTCAATCATATTATTTTATGCCATTATCGTTTGGGTTATCTTTCTTTTTCTTCATTTAGTCTTTTATTTCTAGCTTTCTTTAAATAAACTAAGTTGTCAAGCCTACATTGTGAGTTCTCAAAGCATTGCATAAATTCTTATCCTGCAAGTAATAAAAGATCTAAGACTTACAATTCCTTTTTCATATTGTTCACTTTGGTGTGTGGGGGCCATACCACTTACCGTGCATGGGTTGTTATAAAAACTTTATTTTATTTATTGATGGAGTGCCTAAGTTTGTGAAGCAGTTCCATGGATTTGTGCTTACCTAGTTTGATACCCACATCATAATATTCCAACCAGACAATGCTAAGGAATATTTGGAGAAGGACCTTACTTCATATTTTGTTAGAAATATTTGGACAAGTCCTTTACCACCTTCTCTAGCACCTTCCTTCCCAGACCTAGACTTACCTATAATTGTTAGAAAAGGCAAGAGAAAATGTACAACACATTGTCTCTCTAAACACCTCTTACAACTTGTTGTCATCCTCATATTATTCTTTCCTATCCTTTATTTCCACTCAGCCTATACCCCAGTTAGTTACAAAGGCCTTGTCCAAGCCAGAATGGAGGAAGGATATGAGAACTGAAATAGAAGCACTTTACAAAAATAATACTTGAGATGTTGTAGATTTGCCTCATGGGAAGAAACCAGTGGGATGCAAGTGGGTGTTGACTATTGAGAGGTATAAGGCCTAGCTAGTTGCTAAGGGTTATACATAGTGTAGAAGATTAATTAGTTTTATGATGTTTTTCTGAGTAGAAGTTTTATGTTAGTTGTTAGATAGGAGGTGGGGACCACAGTAGTTATGTGAGTCCAAACTTTATGATGTTTTTATGAGTAGAAGTTTTATCTTAGTTGTTAGATAGGAGGTGGGGACCACAATAGTTATGTTAGTCCAAATTTTATTATGTTTTTTGAGGGTTATATATGCTGTTTTATGTTTTGCT